CACTCTCCCTCCCCCCTCCCTCTCTCTCAAGGTCTTGCTATGTAGTTCAGGCTGCTCTTGAATTCACTGTGTAGCCCAGGCTGGCCTAGAACTTGTGATCCTCCTGCCTCAGCCTCCTGAGCACTGGGATTACCAGGCATGTGTCACTGCACCGGCTGGATGTCTCTCTTTATCAGCCTATGCATGTTAGGCACCTGCCTCTGCCTCTTGGGTACCTATCTACTCGGAAGCTGGGTTGGCATGGAGCTTTCATTTTGCAGACCCACAGGGAGGATGGGGGAAGGCCAGAGGGCAGCCCTTAGCCACTGGGGAGGGAGGAAGAGAGAAGAAGGGAACGTGGTGAGGGTGGAGACCTAGAGCTAGGAAACCACAGGCCGTGAGTGATTGGCTGCCCTGGGCCGGGCCTCGCCTTGCCTCTGCACCCTCACCCTGCACATCCGCCTGGGCCCAGCTACCTCCGTGGGCAGCCCTGGACGCTGCCTGCCCCTGCCATGTTGCCTCGCTGCTGGGCGGATGGAGCAGGATCCCAAGCCGCCCCGTCTGCGGCTCTGGGCCCTGCTCCCCTGGCTGCCCAGGAAGCAGCGGCCCAGGAGTGGCCAGGCCCCTCTGCCTGTCCCTGGCCCTGGCTCTGGCCCCCGGCAGGACTTGGTGAGTGTGCCCGGATGCCTATTCCTGGCCTGGCTACAGACCTTTGAACAGGTGCTGGGTAGCCAGTTTGGTCTATGCTGGCTCTGGTCTCTCCTGACCCTGCTGGATGACTAAACCCTGCCCAGACTTCCTGGGGAAGTGAGGAGGCATCTCAGGGCTTCAGGGCATACCTGCTGGTTGTAGAGAGGGTATTGGGGTCCTAGAACAGCTAGAGCCTGACAGGGGTCTTCTAGAGCCTGGTCTGAGGGAGGTTTGGTTGGGGAGTCATGGAGTCTCTGGGTTTACCATCCACCTGCTCCAGACTGGTATTTACTGGTTGGGGGAGGGGGTTTCGTGATGATTTTTGGATCTCTGTGCATCTGCCCTGTCCGGCAAGCAGAGGGATCTTCTCATCTTGATCTGAAACGAAAGCTCAGCCCTGCCCCCCCATTGTGAGAATAAACCCTACTTCCTATTGTAGCAAAACGAAAATAGCTGAGGGTGGGGAGCCCCATAGGGCGGACCTGGGCCAGGTCCCTGTGCCTCAGCTGGAGCCTGGGGGTGGGCTCAGGCTGGCCAGGTCTGGGCATCCATTAGGCTGACCAGGCCTGGGCAGCAGGAGTGACCAGAGCAGTGCCTTACCAGAGCCAAAGGCTTGGTGGTTTGAGGCCGTTTGTATTGATGAGCCTGTCCGCAGGCCACCCTGCCAGGGGAGTGTCTGTGGACCGGATGGAGTCTGGTGGGAATGGCTTGGGTGGGGATATGGCCCATGCTGCCCTGGGTGGAGTCCCTGTGCCCATCAGCTCTATCCCTCTGTCAGGATGAGGGCATCCTCAAGGAGATCTCCATCACGCACCACGTCAAGGCTGGCTCCGAGAAGGCTGATCCATCCCATTTCGAGCTCCTCAAGGTTCTGGGCCAGGGATCCTTTGGCAAAGTGAGTCATGAGCTTTCGACTGGAAAGGCAGCGCCTGCCCATCAGAAGCGGGGGCCAGGGGACATCTTGGGGCCCAAAGGACGGATCGTAGAGCAAGAGTAGCTCCGGGTGACCAGGGAGAGCAAGGAGCCACTGGGGAATCAGGGAAGGGAAGCCAGAGGTCAGCATGGGACCTGGAGGATGGGAGCCAGCGGGCTGAGTCCCCTCCCGGCGTCTCCCTGTGCCCTGACCCCCGTCCCAACTTCTCAGGTCTTCCTGGTGCGCAAAGTCACCCGGCCTGACAGTGGGCACCTGTATGCCATGAAAGTGCTAAAGAAGGCGACACTGAAAGGTGAGTGGGGGCTGCACAGAGCCCAGGCTAGGCCCAGGGTTGAGGAAGGCAGCTCCCTTCTCAGGAGCACCTACTCGAGGGTGGAGAGACAGGCCGCCCGCAGCCACCCTTCCCCGCCTCCGATAATTTGTCAGTGATGGCGGCTGATGGAAGCAGGCAGTGGGGTGAGCGCAGTGTGCTTGTGGTGGAGTGAAGGACCCTTGAACGTCAAGTAGGTCAGGCAGAGGCGTCTATCACGGTTGCTTTGTGATGCTGGGAGAATCGAGGGAGATCTCTTTGGCCTCAGCTCAGGGTGAAGAACTGAGAGAAGAGATGGGGAGCCCAAGGGGCAGCTAGGCCCATACCAGAGGGGCACTCAAAGCAGGGCCATGGAGATGATTGCACAGACGGTCAGGAGGGTATCCCAGCCTGAGTCTAGGATTCTGGGAAATCACAAAGGGCCTGAGAATGGCTGGCCGTGGGCGCTGGTTCACACATTGGCTCTTAGGCCTAGGAGCCAGGCTTGCTACTGACTGCATGGAATCTGAGCCAAGCTCTGGCTGGGGTCGTGGTGGTGGGAAAGCAGGGTCAGCCTGGCAGACATGATGGGCCGTCTGGCCCATGAAAGACTTCTGTGGCGGTATAGGCGCTTTGGTGCAGCCCGACAGTGGGAGTCATCCCACAGGAAGCGGGCTGGGAGCCACAGGGGAGGAGAAAGGCAGAAAGACCTGGTCTCTGCCATGAAGGGCTCACAGGCTGGATGCAGGCGGCTGGCCAGGCCCTGGCAGTGCGGAGATCCCCATTCGTGGGGGTCTCTGAGGCCAAAGAGTCCAGAGGGTCAGGGTGTGGCTCACAGGGGCAGGCTGAGGGACCAGGGGCACCTAAGGAGGAACCATGTGAGCTAGGCCTTGAGGGATGAGGTAGGAGTTCTTCAGACCAGGAGGAGTGGCAGAGGAAAGGCCCCTGGGAAGGAGGAATTGTTTGCCAGAGGCACCTTGGAGATGTGAGGTGTGTTTGGGAAACTGGCTGGGTAGTTATCCCAGCATAGTCTCTTCCTCATCTCATCAGCAAACCTGCTAGTGATCAGAATTGCCTGGCAATTTTTAATCATAAAAAGAAAAAATGTAGGCCAGGCATGGTGGCATATCCCTGTAATCCCAGCTACTTGTGAGAGTGAGGCAGGAGGATTGCAAGTTCAAGGCCACCCCAAGTAAGACCTGTCTCAAAATTTAAAAAAAATTTTTTTAATTTAAAAGGAAAACTTGCTGGGTATGGTGGTACATGCTTATAATCCCAACACTCAGGAGGCTAAAGCAGGAGGGTTGCTGTGAGTTTGAGGCTAGCCTGGGCTGCATAAGGAAGTTCAAGGCATAGTGAGACCCTGTCTCAAAAAACAAAATAAAAAGGAAAACTTGAGAGATGCCCACTGAGACCCATCAGTCATACTTGTAGGCCTAGGGAATCTGCCTGTCTAGCTCACACCCCAGGGCAACTAAATTCTAGCAGCTCCCAGATTAGAATTTGGGATCCCCCCCGCCGCCCCCGCTCCCCCAGACCCAGGAATCGAACTCATGACCTTGCGCTTGCCAAGCAGGTGCTATGCCGCTGACCTAAATCCCGAGCCCCAAAATTTGGGATTTTGTGAACTATGTAAAGAGGGGGCTGGTTAAGGAGTATGTGTGCGTGTGTATGCAGAAGCAGAGTCTAGGGATCTCAGAAATGGGTACACAAGGACACAGGCTGTTCAGTGCCACTTGATAACATGGTGGGAGAAAGGCCTAGAGAGCTGGTCAGGCACCAAGGCCTACCCTGGGCATTGCCATGGGGTGAAGGCAGAGCAAGCAGAGGAACCAGAGCAGCCTGGGATGGAGGAAAGTAAGATTGATGAGGGAGCCTTGGGGGTTCAGGCCTAGAGGAATGAGCAGAACAGGGAGCCCTTAGCTGGGGCTGGCAGAGTGGCCGCGCTGGTGCCTGGACTGTCGGTGACTTCTTTTCTTCTCTGGCCAGTACGTGATCGTGTTCGAACCAAGATGGAGAGAGACATTCTGGCTGATGTAAACCACCCATTTGTGGTGAAGCTGCACTACGGTGAGGCCGCAGGCCCTACCCGAGCTCCCATCCCTCTTCTTCGGCGTCCATCTGTGCCTGTGGTCTCCGGCCCTCCCTGCCTTCCCTGTACCTTGTCCCACATCCCACCGGGCAGGCCGAGGATGCCAAGGCCAGAGCGGGAGGTCACAAGACCCAGCTGACTCCACGCGGTCTTTCCCTCTCTCCAGCCTTCCAGACCGAGGGCAAGCTCTATCTCATTCTGGACTTCCTGCGCGGTGGGGACCTCTTCACGAGGCTCTCAAAGGAGGTGAGCTGCCGTCCCTCTGCCAGAAGGCTGAGAATGGAGGGGCCAGGCCACAGTGAGGCCTCGCTATCCCGGGTCCTTGTGAGGAACATGTCCAGTGTGGTCTGGGCCTGGAATCTGCCTCACAGTCCTTGAGTCAGAACTGTCTCCCACCCTGGGACAGAGGCCACATCTGGAAAAGCCTCTGAGAGTTTCTCACAAAATGCCCTGAGGAGCTGCGCGTGGTTAATCCCATCCCCTGGGAGGCTGAGGCAGGAGGATCACTGCAAACTCAGGCCAGCCTAAGCTACAAAATGAGTTCAAGGCCAGCCTGAACCTCATAGTGAAACCCAGCCTCAAAAAGAAAAAAAAAAAGATGGCCTGATGATAATAGGCCATGAACCTGATACCACCCTGATTCGGGGGAGCTAAGGGCACCTCTCACCTCTCCACTTTCATGTTCTTTTAGGGCCGCACTGGCCAGGGCCATGAGCATCAGGGAAAAACTCAAAGTCACCCGGAAAGCAAGATGGAGACTTTAGCATTCTCGTCTCATGTGTTATCCGAAAGGATTTCAAAATAATGTAAAAGGATCTGAGCTGGGTACAAAAGTGGGACTATTAATTCAGGCAACCTTTAAAGAGAACCAAAATTTTGATTTTTAAAACATTACTCTAATGTTTGAATAAGTAACACATTTACATGGTTCAAAAGAGAAGTAGTTATCAAGAAGTCTTCAGGCAGGGCGTGGTGGCGCATGCCTGTAAACCCAGCACTTGGGAGGCTGAGGCAGGAGGATCACTGCAAGTTCAAGACTAGCCTGGCTTACAAAGTGAGCTCAAGGCCAGCCTGAGCTGCATAGCGAGACCCTATCTTAAAAAAAAAAAAAAAAAAAAAGGAAAGAAATCTTCTTCCAACCCCCCCCCCATTCCCCCCTGGGTAAATATTTTTAGTGGTTTCTTGTTTAACCTTCTCATGTTCCTTTTGCAAACGAACCCAATTCATGTTCTGAATCTCTGTCCCTACTTTCTTGCTTAAAAGGTACCATTCTGTATACACTGGTCTGTGCCTTTTTCAAGGCAGTGTATCTTAGAAATTGTTCCATATCGGAATATGGAGAAGCTCTTTGTTTTAGTTGATAGCGCTATGGCCTTCCACCAGGCAGGGTGAGGTGATGTATTCTAGTCCTCTATTCCTGTTGGCAGCCTTTTGCTACTTCCTAAGGGTACCACAATGAGTGACTTGTATATTAGCCATTTCATACTTCATATCCCTTTAGAAAGAGAAAGGTATATGAGACACTAGGGGATGATGTCCCCAGGATGGGCCCTAAGCAACTGGAAGTCACTAGCTGCCCAGGGCCCAGTGCCTGAGGAGAAGAGGAGGTCCCACAGCTGAAGCCCTGGCTGCCTCTTACAGGTAATGTTCACTGAGGAAGATGTAAAGTTTTACTTAGCCGAGCTGGCTCTGGGCCTGGACCACCTGCACAGCCTGGGCATCATCTACAGAGACCTCAAGCCTGAGAAGTGAGTGAAACCCCACCCTGCCCTCTCCTCCATAGGAGGTACAGAGACAGCCCCGGGGCCTCTCCTAAAACCCCTGCCCTCCTGCTGGGCGGGGGCCTCTTCCCAGGAGCATTCCTGTTTCTTGGCCTATCTGAAGAGTGGGTGGGTGAAATGGGGTGGTGGCTGCAGCAGGTGCACCGTTAGGGGTGCCTGATCCCCAGTGCTGCCATGGGCAAGGTTCGGCTACCCTCCAGGCAGGTGTGTTGCCCTCCTTTTTGCTAATTAGATTTGACATCTGAGATGCCACCATTAAAGGTCTCTCCTTGATTTGGTCCTCTTTAGAATTTTCCTTAATATCTAAGTATCTTGGTTTTTCTTAGTATCTTAATACCTAAGTTATCCCAATGATAACGTGGGAGCCAGAGGTAAATAGTGAGGGGAATGGGTTCTGGATTGAGCATTAGGGACACTTCAAGCTGGGTGAGGGATACAAGCCTGTTGTACCCCCAGCTACTGGAGAGGCTGAGGGAGATCATTTGAGATCAGGAATCCAAAGTCAACCTAAGCAACATAGTAAGACCCTAACTTGGAAAAAAAAAACACAAAAAACCCCAAAAGTTAGGCACGTCGCTGGGTGTGGTGGCATACACCTGTAATCCCAGCACTTGGGAGGCTGAGGCAGGAGGATGAGGCAGGAAGGTCACTGTGAGTTCCAGGCCAGCCTGGGCTACATAAGTGAGTTCAAGCCCAGCCTGACCTGCATAGCAAAACCCTGCCTCAAAAAGACCAAAGAAAAGAAAAAGAAAAAGTTCGGCACACCAAATACCTGTCTCCATTACTTATTAGTTCTTTTTTTTTCTTTTCTTTTCTTTTTTTTGTCTTTTTGAGACAGAGTCTTGCTGTGCAGTTCAGGCTGGCCTTGAGCTCACTTTGTAGCCCAGGCTGATCTTGAACTTTTAACGATCCTCCTGCTTCAGCCTCCCCAGTGCTGGGATTACAAGCGTGCACCACCACACCCGGCTACATATTAGTTCTTGACTGGGGAGAGGAACTACTTAACTTTCCTGAGCCTTAGTTTCCCTACTGGTGAAATGAGGACATAAAGAACCTGTCTCAAAAAAAAAAAAAAAAAAACCTGTCTGACACAGTGGTTACAAGGATTAGCAAGGAGGGTAGACAACACACCTACCAGGTGCTGCCCGACCTGGCTGTAGCATCTTTTTATCAGATCAGTATGGGCAGGGCAGCTCCTCTCGGCAAGCCCATGTCCCGCCAGCCAGTGGTCCCACCAGAACCCACCCAGCACCTGCTGCTGAGGGGCCCTGACTTTGTTTCTCTGTTCCAGCATCCTTCTGGATGAGGAGGGCCACATCAAACTGACTGGTGAGTGGAGGGCACGCACCCAGTTGAACCCTCAGAGGCACAGAGGCGGCTTCTGATAGTGCTCGGCTGAGCGCTGGGGCCCATTTTTCCTGAGAGTCCTTGGCAATTGCTCAGAAGGCATCAAAGCCCAGGCCCCAGACTCGGAGCACCATGGGATGGAAGCCTAGCACCTCACTCTGTGGCCTTGGACTAGACATCTAACCTGAACAGGTCTCAGTGTCCTTCTAAGTGTCACAGGAGTAAAGCCCTCAGGCCCTGGGCAGAGGAAATGAGGGTGAGCAGTGGCAGGAAGGAAGGCAGGGTCCTGAAGACATGTCCCCTGCTCTCCTCGCTGCAGACTTTGGCCTGAGCAAGGAGGCCATTGACCACGAGAAGAAGGCCTACTCTTTCTGTGGGACAGTGGAGTACATGGCCCCGGAGGTCGTCAACCGCCAGGGCCACACCCACAGTGCAGACTGGTGGTCCTATGGGGTATTGATGGTGAGTGCCCAGACAGAAGCAAAGGATCGAGCCCAAATCTCTAGCCTCAGTTTCCCCGGCTGACATCGTGGGGGTTGGTAATCTCCAAGACCCCTCCAGTCCCTTCACAGCCAAGCTGGCCTCACCGTGCGTGCCTCGGAGGTTTCCTCCCTTGGGAAGAGTTCAGACTTGACCCCACCTGGGGCAGTCTTACCTGGGCTCTGGGCCGCTAGTGTTGCTCCTGCTGGTCTGGGTGGGATGGGGGTGAGGGGCGCAGGCACAGTCCTGGCTCCAGGTGGACTTGGAGATCCATCAGGCTGGCAGAAATCCTGGGACTAGAGCAGGTGGCCTGGCCTGGGGGGGTCAAGGAAGAGGGCGTGGGAGGTAGGGACAAAGCCTGACCAGACCCTTGTCCTTGCAGTTCGAGATGCTGACAGGCTCCCTCCCCTTCCAGGGGAGGGACCGGAAGGAGACCATGACCCTGATTCTGAAGTAAGCACCAGCCCTTCCTGGTACCGTGGGGGTCCCTATGCCCCACCCCAGTTTGGGGGCTAGAGCGTCACCCTGTCCCTGCCTCTGAAGCCCCATTAACGAGACACTCCTTTGGGTTCAATATGATGCTTTCCACAGCCCCTTTCCACCCGCCAGGGCCTGTGGGAGGGATCCCTGCAGTCTTTGGGAGGTGAGTTAGTGGCTGGCTTGTCTGGACTGAGCTGGGAATGAGGCCTGGACAGGGGGAGGGAGCTGGGGTTCTCGGGTGGGGCTCGTGTCTGATGAGACCCCGGGGCTATTTCAGGGCAAAGCTGGGCATGCCCCAGTTTCTGAGCACGGAAGCCCAGAGCCTCCTGCGGGCCCTGTTCAAGCGGAATCCTGCCAACCGGCTGGGTAAGCGGCCCCGGCTCAGGGGAGGGGACGAGGCTATGGGGAGCGGGGTACAGCTGCAGCCTGGGCCACAGGGCCACATCTGGGGCTGAAAGAGGCCCTTGTCCTTTGTGTGGGCAGACAATGCCGCCGGCCACCCTGCTTTCTGGCTCCCTGTGTGGTGTTGGGAGGGTGGGTGACCTGTGTGTAGGGGGAAGGCAGGAACTGAGTCATCCCCATTCCCTCTGGGGACAAGGACAGAGGCCCCCACACAGCTTCTCCGCCAAGGCTCCTGGCCCAAGAGAAGGCTCAGGTTCCAGCTGTGTCGCTCCCCACTGCCTGGCACATGGCGGTTCCTCCATAAATATTTGTTGAGCAAATATGTGCCATCTATGAACTGTATGACCTGGCCAGCTGACGTCATCTCTCTGAGTCCCAGGTTCCTCATCTCAGGGGAGCTGATGAGGCCAAGCAAGCTGTGGGGCTCTGTTGATCAGACGAGGTCCTGGGAACATGCCTGGCATGTCCTTGGTGTTTGGTGTATATTGACTTCCTTGGCTCCTGGGTTCCCCTGGACCACGACCAGCTTTGTAAGCGTCAGTCCAAGTCCCTGGAGTTGAATGGAGTGAGAGCTTGTCCCATGGTTGAAAGGGACAGTAGGATAAGAGGAGCAGAGAGGGGACCTGCAAGGGGAAGGCATGAGGGTGCTCTGTAGATCTCAGAACAAGCTCAGCTTTTGTCCTGACTGCGTAGCCTTGAGCAAGTGGCCTAACTTCTCTGGGCCTGCCTGCTTCCGTCCGTATATTGGAGCTTGATCATCAGACTCTAGAAACTGAAAAATACCAAGTGGGTGATAGGCCTCAGGGACTCAGGTGGATTCAGGGATAGGTGGATTCAGAGCAGGGTGAGCCCATCCCCTGCCCCTGCACCACAGCTGGTGCCAGGGCACTCTGCAGCTACTTGGCAGACCAGTGGGTGTCTGGGGTTGGACCATCCGGGGACAGACGCTTCAGTTGGGCTCTTTCAGGCTCTGGTCCTGATGGGGGAGAGGAGATCAAGAGGCACGTCTTCTACTCCACCATAGACTGGAATGTGAGTGTCCGTCCCCGCCCGGGCTTTGACCCTGTTGCCACAGGGAGGGCGGCGGGAGGGCTGCCCTCCTGGGAGTTGCGCTGCTGTGTGCCAGGCAGAGTGTCTTACGATCTTCTTGCATGAGGCTGCTGGTGGGCTGTGGGGGGCACAGTGGTGACCAGAGAACCCCTACCCTTCAGAAGCTGTACCGACGTGAAATCAAGCCACCCTTCAAGCCAGCCGTGGCCCAGCCCGATGACACCTTCTACTTTGACACTGAGTTCACATCCCGCACACCCAAGGGTACGCCCCGTGTCTGGTTTGTCTGCCTCGGACTCGTGCATGAGGGAAGCGGGGAGTCAGAGCAGCCCGGGACACGGGTGGCCAGGGAGCCTGACGGGGCCGGGTGTGTGGGTGGACAGGCGGCGCCTAGCTCTGTGGGACTCTGACCTTGTCGCTGTCCCATGCCGCCTGCCTCTCCCACCCTGCGCTCTGTGTGCCTCTTTGTGTCTGGCTGAGGCGATGAGGTGTGTGGGTGGTCAGGGCCATGGCAGAAAAGGCAGGACCACTGCCCCGGGCATCTTCCAGCCCGCTGGGAAGACGACGTACACAAGGCCGGCACGCACCTCAAGGATGAGGAATCTCACCCGGCAAAGCCGTGGTGGAAACAGTCTGACAGGAGAGGCTGGCGCCCACAGGTCAGGGACAAGTGTGGGCATCGGCTCCGTGCGCTGGAACGTGGGCACAGCCCGCTCCCTCCCGGGGTACCACAGGACCCAGCATACCACAGGAAGCCGGTGGGGACTTCCGAGAGACAGCTGGAAAAACCGCAACTCCTAACCAGATATTGGCAGTGGATTGAGGGTGGGATGTTAATTCTGAAACCTCTCTGCTGCAGGACCTAGGTGAGAGGGGGCTGAGCCCACAGGGGCCTCAGCTGCCTGAGGAAGGGAGGGGGTGTCTGCTGAGGGCAGTGTGGAGCTGTAAGGGGCGGCAGAGCAGCAGATTTGCAGTTAGAACCGTCACACTGGCTCTCGTACAGCAGATGGACCGGGGAGAGGGCATCCAAGCCCCTGGGCCTGAGCCTGGCCTGGGCTGGAGCTTGATGTAGGAGTCTATGGCTTTCACCACTGCCAGCGGCTGACGCAGGCCAGGACCCCGTGGCCTTTGCGGGGCTGCCTCGGGCTCACGTCCTGCTCATTCCTACAGATTCCCCAGGCATCCCCCCCAGCGCTGGCGCCCATCAGCTGTTCCGTGGCTTCAGCTTCGTGGCCACTGGCCTGATGGAGGACGATGGCAAACCTCGGGCCACACAGGCGCCCCTGCACTCGGTGGTACAGGTGAGGGAGGGACGGCCACTGCTCGGTTGTCCCTTTCCACATAGAAGACCTAGGGCGGAATGGCTGCAGGACAGGCCTGGCTCAAAGCCTGATGCCAAGGCCCTCCAAGCTCCTATGTCCTTTTTCCCATTTATAAAACAGTGGCCCTGATAACTGGATGACAGCATGCTTATAAATTTCCTGGCCCAGAGTTGGGTAAATGCCAGGGGTACCCAGTAGGTGGGGAAGTGGCTGTCAAATCCCTGACAGGAGTGGGTAGCAGGGTGTCTTGTTTATGCACTATACTACTCTGTGAAAAGATTGAGAGAGAAAATGTAGCCGGGTGTGGTGGTGCCCCCTATAATCCCAGCACTTGGGAGGCTGAAGCAAGAGGATCATTGTGAGTTCAAGGCCAGCCTGGGCTATATAGTGAAACTGTCTCAAAAAAAAAAAAAGGAGGGAAAATGTAGAACTGGGAGCTCATTGGGCACCATGTAACATTTGCTACTGTTAATGTCGCAGAACCTTGAGACGCTTCATGAAGTGAACCTGACACCCCAGAAAGGGGAGACGGCTCACCCCAAACTGCAGAAGGGCAGAGCTGGGGTCCCAGTTAGGGCTCCCATTTCCCTCTTAGGCCTACCTAGGCGTCTCAGAACCACAAACCTCTTGATGGGTGTGCTGTGATTCCTGCCCTCCCCACTCCACCACACTCTGACTATACAAACTGTACCCTAGACTGACGGGGGACCAGCAAGTGCACCCATCAGATGGAGTAGAAAACTGAGGCCCAGAGAGGGGCGGGGTTTTGCCTGAAGTCACACAGCCAGCACTAACGGAGGCTGTTGTACCACGTCCACTGAGCCAAGGCCTTGGTGCTGGGCACGGCCTCTGGCTCTCTCGAGCCAGCGGTCAGCCCCGCTTCTTGGTCTCCTGCAGCAACTCCATGGGAAAAACCTAGTTTTTAGCGACGGCTACGTGGTAAAGGAGACAATCGGCGTGGGCTCCTACTCCGTGTGCAAGCTCTGCGTCCACAAGGCCACCAACATGGAGTACGCCGTCAAGGTGGGCCTCCGACCATGTCTTGCCCCAGGCTAAGGGCTAGGGGTGCAGCCAGGGGAGCTGTGGCCCTCTGCCGGCCTATCCTCAGGCTCTGTGGATAGGGTGTGGACCCTGAGGTGCGGGCTGCAAGGCAGGAAGGGACCCTGGAGTCTGTCCCCAACACCGCCTCATGCACCTACCTTCTCTAGGTCATCGACAAGAGCAAGAGAGATCCCTCAGAAGAGATTGAGATCCTCCTGCGGTACGGGCAGCACCCCAACATCATCACATTGAAAGATGTGAGTAGCAGTTCTTGAGACTGGGGTAGGGGCTGGGGCTGGGCACTACTTGAGGGTTTGTGTCCCCCTGGTTTGGCCATACCCCAAGGATCCCCCCCACTGCAGCCCCTGGTATTTTCTGAGAGCTCCTGGACTCAATGGGGACCAGCGTCAGCACCCCCTTGTCCAGGAGGAGAGAGGCTCAGATGGGTGGAGACCCTGCCAGGGTCCCGGGGGCACAGAGCACAGCATGTGCCTCGGGCTCGTGGCATTCTTCTGCCCCTGGGGGCGCTGGCAGTGGGGAGATGGCCCTGACGGCAAGGCCTTGGGCAGGTGTACGACGATGGCAAGCACGTGTACCTGGTGACAGAGCTGATGCGGGGTGGCGAGCTGCTGGACAAGATCCTGCGGCAGAAGTTCTTCTCGGAGCGGGAGGCCAGCTTCGTCCTGCACACCATCGGCAAGACCGTGGAATATCTGCACTCACAGGGGGTGAGTCCAGATTAGGGGTGGGTAAGACCCCGGATGAGGGTCATACCATCGTCAGAGTGCAAGGAACACGGGCTGGTGCAGGAGTGGCAGTCTCCAGCCAGCCGCCAGTGGGTGGGTAGTGGGCAGGTGCAAGGAAGGGAGGCAGGAGGAAGAGATGAGGCCAAACCCTGGAAAAAAACAAAATGTCTTCAGTACCTACCGTGGGCCGGGCCTCCGGCTGAGGTTTAGTGCAAGGTGAGCTTTCCTTACATCATCTCGGTTGATTGTCACAGCAGCCCTGAGGTAGGTGCTGTCACTGTTGACCCTGCATACCAGGAAAGGGCACTGAGGCTCACAGGGTAAGGTCACTTGCCCAAGGTCGCATAGCCAGGGAAGAACGGAGGCAGAATGAGGGTGCTGGGCTGGGAGCTGCGCGGAGGAGGGGTTTTGAGTCAGGAATTTGGCCTTGGGTTGCTAAGACAGAGGAAGTGGATGCAGGAAGAAATGCTGCTAGAAACACAGCAGGAGCTTTGGGAGAGGTGTTGGGCCTAAGGCAGGACTCGGCTGCTCTCGTGGCACAGGGCAGGTAAGCATCCCGCGGCTCTGGACCGAGGCTGCAAGGACAGAGGGCCTTGTGGTTGTCAGTGTGAGTTTCTCTCCGAGTGAGGTGGTGGTTGCGGTGCTTGTAACCAGGCCCTGTGGGGCTCAGAACGCTGGCTGAGGGATCCAGGCGGCTGTGTCCGTGTCGCCTGTGTGTGGTCGGGAAGTCACTTCACCTCTCTGAGCCGCGTCTTCACCTGCAGGCTCGAGAGCTGAGCCTCGTGCCGCGGGGTACTCATGGGAGGGAGCACAGTACTTCCCTGGGAAGGCAGCGATCAGTGCCGGGTGCCGTGGCCGCCACAGAGGTGTGAGCAGGGAGACCAGATCCAGAGGAGCACGCGCAACACTGGAGAGGAGGGTCACCCGCTCGCGCATGCCCGCCACTCAGACTCAAGAATTCTCTAAGCGGGCGTGCCGGGGTGCGCCTGGAGGTCCGGCGCTTGTTCCAGAGACTGGCTGACGGGATCAGTTGAGTCCAGGGGTTCAAAGCCAGTATGGGCGACATAGCAGGACCCTGCCCCCATGTGAAAAAAAAATTGTCAAGATACTCATCACATGTGCTGTTTTCCTTTCCTCTGCATTCCTTCCTTCCTTTCTCCCGCTTCTTCCTTTCCTCCATTTTTTTTTTTTTTTCCTGTACCGGGAATCGAACTCACGACCTCATGCTTGCCAGGCAGGTGCTGTGCCGCTGAGCTAAACCCCCAGCCCCTCCTCCATTTTTTTCTAGACAACTTTTTAAATAATCTTCCACAATTGCGCTCTCTTTTTCCATCTCTCCCTATATATAAACATAAGTATTTCTGGAGACGCATTTGAAAAAAATTTTACAGACATTTTGCCATTTGACCTATAGACCCCTAAAGTTTTGTTTTGTACTTTTGCTGGAGATCAAACCCAGGGCCCTGCTCATCTAAAGCCTGTGCTGCAGCACTGAGCTACACTCTCTTTCCTGTAACTAAAGTATGTTATTTTTTTTTGTTACTATTATTTCTTTTTTTGTAGTGCCGGGGATTAAACCCAGGGCTTTGTGCACACTGGGCGATCGTTCTACCACTGAGCTACATCCTTGCATCCTGAGCCCATGAAGTATTTAAGGTGTGTCATCCTAGTCATTTGCCTACGACTCCAAAAGCTGAAGATTTTTTTTCAGACAACTAAAAAAATTAATACTTACTTGTTTTTGCATAAATGCGCAAATTTTACCTATTGACATTTCAAAAATGTCTCTTCTAATTGGTTTTTTGGAATCACAATCCCTGCAACCCATACATATTTATTTCATTTAGTTGTTATATGTAAGTTTTTCTGTCTCTTTTTTTAAGGGAGGAAAGCTTTATTTAACTCTTCAGTCTCTCTCTCCTTTTTTTTTTTTCTTTTTGTCTTTTTGAGACAGGGTCTCACTATGCAGTTCAGGCTGGTCTTGAGCTCACTTTGTAGCCCAGGCTGGCCTCTTAACTCGCAGCGATCCTTCTGCCTCAGCCTCCAGAATGCTGGGATGACAGATGTGTGCCACCACACCCTGCAGTCTTTTTTTTTATTATTGTAAGTCTCTTTTTTTAAACTGAAGTAAAAATTTCATACCATTGGATTTTGCTTTGTTTGTAGTACCAAGAGTTGAACCCAGGGCATTTGCATTGAGCTACATCCCCAGACGTTTTCATTTTTTAATTTTAATTAATTTTCTTTTTTTGAGGCAGAGTCTCATTATGTAGTTCAGGTTGGCCCTGAACTCACTATGTAGTGCAAACTGGCCTTGAAGTTGCAGTAATCCTCCTGCTTCAGCCTCCTGAGTCTGGGATTACAGGCATATGCTACTATGCCTGTTTTCGTTTTTTATTTTGGAACAGAGTCTCATTGAGTTTTCCAGGCTGGATTTGAACTTGCCATCCTCCTGCCTCAGCTTCCTTTAGTGCTGGGGTTACAGGCATGTACCATACAGTATACGTTAAGGGTACAACTTGAGGTTTGTAAATATGTACATCTGTACCATCCCCGTAGTAAGACTTCCTTTTGGTACCCGTTACTTGTTGAAGAGATCAGTTCAGTTGTTCTGCGGAATGTTCCCCATCTTGAATATATCTGCCTGCTTTCTGTGGCATCATTTGCATTATTTCTCTATTGCCCATATTTCCTATAAACTGCAGGTGGTTCTCAAGTCTTAATTAGATTCAGGTTCACGTTTTGGGGGAAGAGTAAAACTCAGAAGGCCAAGTTTTGGGATCCAAGAGAATCATGTATAACCCTTAACTATTACAGACCATTGACCTGCAGGAGATTCCGGTTGCCTTTGTCCTTGCCAGATCCATCTGTAGAGGCCTGGGGAAGACTCTAGAAAAGGGACTCAGTTCCAACATAGTGGCATGTGCCTGTAACCCCAGCACTCTGGGAGGCTGAGGCAGGAGGCTCACAAATTTGAAGCAATCTCAGCACCTTAGCAAGACCCTGTCTCAAAAAAAAACCAGCCAGGAGAGAGCTGCGGATCTCTCTCAATGTGAGGGCCCTGGATTTAATCCCCATTGCTGCAGGTAGGATGGGGGGCTCATTGTGACCATGTTCTTCGACCTTGGGCACTGCTTCCATGTCTTGATTGCTAGGGGGTTCGGGATGTCATTGTGGTCTACAGGTGTGGCTTGTCCTTGCAGACCCACAGTCAGGTGCATGTAGGTCCTCAGTTGTGTTTTTTTGTTGGTTTGTTTTGATAGTCCAGGCTGGCCTTAAACTCACTATTGTAGCCCAGGCTGTCCTCAAACTCATGGTGATCCTCCTGCCTCAGCCTCCCAAGTGCTGGGCATTACAGGTGTGTACCACCATGCTTGGCTCCAATATTTGTTTTAAATAAACCATCATGTCTTCCTCAGTTACCCAATTTCCTCATTTGCACAAATACAGTATTCCCAGTTGTGTCCTATGCCAGGCATTCACCTACAAAATAATAATACAGGAGATGGGGAAGGAAAAGAAAGGTGGCCAGAGCCATTGATCTTGGCGGGAGGCGCAGTGTACTTCCCCCGGATCAAGGCTGTGAGCAACCAGCCTCCTAGCGCCGCCATCAGTCTGTACGGGGGCTCCAGTCCCGCTTCTCACTGTGAAGATCCTCATCTAGTGGCTTCATCCTTCGAGATCTTTGCCTGAATCAGTTATTTCATGATAATGTGTAAAAATGGCACTGATTACATCTGTCAGAGGGACTTCCTCTATAAAACAGAACTTAACCTCGTAACCAAAGCTTCAGCGTGGTGACCACATGTGTTTTTAATGGTCCTGTTTGAAGTGGCTTTGGTGTCTGAAGTAGCCAGTGCAAACAGACTAATATTAAAACATGGCTGATCAGAGAGTAAATGTATTTCCTGTTTTGTTCTTACGTGAGCACTAGTTAAATTTACTCCCAAGAGATATGGCTTAGTGGTAGGGCGCTTGCCTCGCATGTGCCAGGCCCTAGGTTCCATACCCAGTACTGAAAAGAAAACGGCAACAGCAAGGCCAGACGTGGTGGCACACACCTGTAATCCCAGCACTTGGGAGGCTGAGGCAGGAGGATCGTTGTGAATTTGAGGCCAGCCTGAGTGAGCTCAAGGCCAGTCTGAAGTGCATAGCAAGACCCTGTCTCAAAAAGACAAAAAAAAAAAAAAAAAGCAGCAAAAGGAAAAAAAGTTGCAAAAAAGATTTCTGAGGATAAAGCTGAGACACTGAGTTGCCAGACCTGCAGCTCGGAGCACAGCAGAACTCTCTAGATTGGAAGTCACCTACAGGGGCAGTGGTCCCCTACCAGAGGGCATGCATGGTCCCAAGTGCACACAACCATTTAGAGGAAATTATCTCTTTCCCAAAGCCAGGAGTTTATGGGTCTCCAGTGTTTCAGCCTCTTTCCAAATACGCGAGGCAGCTGCTGAGGAAATGGGAACCCTTCCCTTCGAGTTATTTGGAGGGGATTCTCTGGGTTGACTTGGCATTGATGATAGCTGTGGTCTGTGAGCCAGGAATCCAAGAGAAGCTGAGAGACGGGAGGGTGACTAGACAGCCAGAACCATTAACACTCCTCGTTGTTTGTTTGTTTGTTTGTTTGTTTGGTTTTTTGAGACAGGTTCTTGCTATGTAACCCAGGTTGGCCTCCAACTCACAGTGATCCTCCTGCCTCTGCCTCCCGCGTGCTCACCACGCCTGTCTCCTAGTTATTTAATATCTTTTTATTGAAAGTATCACATAAACAGAGAAGTGACCAGGCATGGTGGTGCATACCTGTAATCTCAGCACTTGGGAGGCTGAGGCAGGAGGATTGCAAGTTCAAGGCCAGACGGGGATATAGCTCAGTGGCATAAGTGCCTGCCTGGCAAGCATAAGGTCCTGAGTTCGATTCCCTGTACAAAAAAAAAAAAAAAAAAAAAAAAAAAGGCCAGCCTGGACTACATAGCAAGACCATCTCT